CAGACTAGTAAAACATTTCTACACCAAGGCTTGTAACAACAAATGATCATCAAATCTGTCCAGAGTACAGGCTACAACAATGAATTTAATCATGTGAATAGCTTGACGTTTTATACAAGTCCCTTTCTCTAATTTTTCTGAAGTTTTTATTTGCTTTTCTTTCAGACATCTGTCATGTCTGAAAGAAACATCTCAAAAGGTATTGCCAGGTTATATGAAACAACACATTTTCCCCATATGACATTTTTTTAAATTCTTTTTTTTTCACTTTTAGAAGTATAATTAGATACAATTTAGCTATCCGTTTTAATGCATTTGTACGAGCCTTTTTAGTCTTGCTTACTTGTTTTTAGGTTCTTTTTCTTCTGGTTTTCTAGTTTTAATTTACTTTCTTTTTTTCTCCCCCATTCTCAAATAGTTTATTATGAATTTCTTTTTTTTTTTCGCTTTACATACATTTAAAATACATAATAGGTTAAGCTTCTTCCTTAAAGCAAATCATTTTTTACACAGCTGTAATTTAATTCCATATCTACTCAATGTTGAAAAAGAAACCTTAACCATAATGCTTTTCCAATTTAAATGATTTCTCAAATTGTAAAGAAATATCCTAGTGTTAAATCTTTTTATTCAGCTTTGGCTTTAATTCAGCTTCATTGTTAAAGTAATATAAGTCAAAGCCTACCTCCAGAATTTAAAAACTCTGTACTATGTGCAATTTTTCATCATTTTCTTTACAATTATCTTTCTGCGCCAACTCAGAAAGCTCAAACTGCCCAAAAAGCTGCTGATTCAGTTCTACAGAGGAATTATTAAACCTGTCATCTGCACCTCTATAATGGTCTGGTTTGGCTCTGCAACCAAACAAGACAGACACAGACTTCAACGGATAATTACCTATGACTATCATTAAGTGTTGTACCTTATGATTCTCGACTCTGACGAATGTATCTTTTCTTTTATGTACACTGGGAGCATTTGTACCGAGACAAATTCCTTCTGTGTGCAATCACACTTGGCCAATAAAGTATTCTATTCTATTCTATTCTATTCTATTCTATTCTATTCTATTCTATTCTATTCTACTCTACTCTACTCTACTCGAACTGCAGAAAAAACAATTGCTATCAATCTGCCTTTCACCCCAGCATATACTACACAAGTCAAAAAGAGGGCTGTGAAAATATCTATAGACCCCTCACATCCTAGACATAAATTGTTTCAAGGACAGTTTTTTCCCGAATGCAATCGCTCTGCTAAACAACTAATTCCTGCAACACTGTCAACTTATTTTACTAAGACTGTATTACTATTTTCCTCTACTACTAGATCATAATAACACTTCCTAGTATCTATCTCTTCCCACTTATGATTATAACCATGTTGCTTGTATCCTTACAACTTATATTGTTTGTTTCCTAGTATGATTTGATTGCTTATTAGTAACCTATAACTATCACTAAGTGTTGTATCTTATGATTCTTGATGAATGTATTTTATTTTTTCTTTATGCACACTGAGAGTATATGGACCAAGGACAAATTCCTTGTGTGTCCAATCATACTTGGCCAATAAAGAATTCTATTCTATTCTATTCTATTCTATTCTATTCTATTCTATTCTATTCTATTCTATTCTATTCTATTCTGTTCTGTTCTGTTCTATTCTATTCATTTGGTGGTGAATCCGGTATCTAACAAACATATGGTGAGCTAATAACTCGGAGGCCTCTAAGAACATTTTTGTCATCCTAATTTTAGCTTGGCTGAGATGATAACCAATAACTCTCAGGCAGAGGGACATAAGAGGCTTTGGGTTTCATTCATTCTCAGAAGCCTGTCCTGGACTTGATTTGACTGGATGACCTTAGAAATTTGCCAGCCTTTTTTTTTTTTAATCAGTTGCTTCTTTCTCTCTCTTGTCTTGCCTAATAAACCTAATAGATCTGTTTCAAATGAAGCATGCAGTTTTGGACGATTTACACAAGCGTGCTGACTTTTTTCTCTCTTTTTTTTAAAAAAAGATAATAATTTGCTTTCAGTAACAACCCGCCACTTTAAACCCAGGAATAAGAATCCTGCCTGCCATTAACTTTTTCTCTGCCAAATTTGACAGAGCCAGTTTGTTGTTGCGAACAATGGAGAGGAGTTTTTTTTTTTTCCTTCTCCTGAGCAGTTAGAAAGGAGGCCTGCTTACAGTGGTGCATTTCAAATATTTTTACCACCGGTTCGGTGGGTGTGGCTTGGTGGGCGTGCTTTTCGCTCATGCGCACACCAAGCACACACTTTGCACGGGCGCAGAGGTTTTCTGACTCACCTCCTGCAATCCTGCGCTCTCCCCGTCGCTTCAGCAGCTGCCGCGCGGCAATGTGCTGTGCCGCGCAAAGCAGTTGCACTTCAAAAGCAAGGAATAAAGGTTAGGAATAAATGGGAGCCCAGGCAGGTAGGTGGGCCCAACAGTAGATTGTCAGAGAGAACCGATTCAGTCTCCGCTGCTCATCAGCGCTACCGGCTCGTCAGAACCAGGCTGAACCGGTAGAAATACCACCACTGTATCTGACTCCTTAGATCAGGAGCCTCCAACCTTGGCAATTTTAAGGCTTGTGGACTTCACCTCCTAGAATTCTTGTCAGCCATGCTGGCTGGGGAATTCTGGGAATTGAAGTCCGGAAGTCTTAAAGTTGCCAAGTTTGGAGACCTCTGCCTTAGATTTTGTTCTGTAACTAGTGATTGTTAAGCAAGGAACATGGTTTGGGGAGGTCATACTCTCCTTTGTGTATCAACCCACAGCACCAATATTTGGGATTTTGGAATTCATCCCGGGATGACGCTAACATTTTTCTGAAAGCAGTTTGTAAATGGAATGTCTTCCTTCGGGAGGCCTTTTCCGTAATGCTGATGTTCTTATTTGGAATAAGGGTGGAGCTCCTTCAACTCTGTGTCTCCCATTGTGCCCAATCTCTCCACGGAAGAAGAAGAAGCCAAAGCCCTAAGCTCCTTCACAGGAACTCCACCCACTGACTGGGAATAGGGATCTGGTCGATACTTGGGTCAAGATCAAAACTCAGGAATTGATGGCCCTGTGACTTGCTCTACAATATGCCCTTTGTATTTTCCAGCAGGGGACCAAAGCCCATATACTTCCTTTTGCTATCTTCATACGGCCAGAGATAGAGATAGACAGAGATACAGCTGAGAGATATCAGATAAATAAGGCAGATTAGGGAGGCAGGTAAGTAGATAGGTATGCACGTGCACACACAAACACACACACACACGGGGGGGGAGTAGGTAGACATATAGCTAGACAGATAACGAGAGATGGTAAGAAAGAGATGATGGATGGAGAGATAGATAGATAGATAGATAGATAGATAGATAGATAGATAGA